ATTTTATGTTAAAATGTACTGGAAAACTCCATAACTGATCCCAACTGTGTCTGCGAGCTCATGGATTGTTCGGCGACGGTCTTCATGGAAGAGTTCTCGAAATATTTCAACAATTTCTATCGTTTTGGTGGTGCTTGGTCACCCTGAACTCTCGTCATATTCACCTGACTCTCGACCGGCCTTGAAACGTGAATGCCATTCAAAAACCACTGTCCAGCTTAAAGAATGTTCATCAAAAGCCTCACGAAGCATTTCAAGGGTTTCGGTAGCGGATTTACCGAGCTTAACGCAAAACTGGATGCAGACACGTTGCTCAGTTTTGCCGTCCATCGCAAACAAAACGAAACACGAAGTCGAAAAAGCACTCATATAAAAACATTGCTTGTTCAGAGCGCGGTGGCAGACTGATGCAATAGGCTTGTGGAAGTATGACCGTGTCCCCCCCCCCCATTATCTTCTTTCACCGAGGCAGTTATAGCGGTAAGAGTCCCGGAACTTTCCGGTAGCAGCTCTTACAGTATGTGATATGTTTTCGTAAACAACATGCATCAAGATTTAAGGACTGACTTTGGACCAGAGGTTGTGGGCAAAGAATCAGATTGGATCAGAAACCGTAAACAGCAGGTGTTGACCTTCTATCCCACTCCGCGGTCGTACATGTGTAATTAACGTTTCCCATTACGTACAGTCTCGTCAAAAATGATATAGCACAAGATACAGCAGTTGTCCTGAAGACGCTCATCTGCCGTGCCTCCAGTCTCGTTTTCCTTTAGTGTTCAAAATCCTACATTTTTTATCCAAACGTGGTGGCAGATTTTACTGCTATTCTGTGAAGTCTTTATTGAACCTTCATAGAAATGTTTCCATCAAAGTTTCCATTACTTTATCCATTTGATTGATTACAATTTATCGTATTTTGCGAAGTGTATATTTCCATAATTATAGACTGTATTTCTTAAGTGCTTAAATATCTCGAACCTATTTGATTGTCCGATTTTAATCACAGTTTTAGCCTATAGTAATTCAATGTCTTTCAGTGCCATTCCATTCTGTTTTGCATATGGAAATTGCATTCTCGTTTCCTGCTTCCTTTATTTTAACTTGTTTCTTCTTCAGTTCTTTCTCTTTGTGTCCTTTTGTTTTATTATCTTGTTTCCCCCACTTTTGCTTTCTGTAATATCGGTGTGATAAAGCTTCGAACCCATCGACCGTGTTTCTTACTTCAGTGTACAAAGGTCATGCCATTCGAGGTCACCATGACTCTGCTTTCTTAGGCGGCCCTTGCGTGAGCACACGAGCTCATGTCCAGCCTTACAATTCATCTCCAAAACATCTGTACGAGTTTTCACGAAGTTTGGTTTTTATCAGTCTTCTAGGAAACCGGGATGGCTCAGTCAGTATAGTGACTAGGCTGTGGGATTGAGGGCGGGTAATCGGAGTTTGATTCCCAACAGGGACAATGGTTTTTCTTTTCACCACAGCATCCATACCGGCTGTGGGGCCTATCCAACCTCCTACCCAGTTGATATCGAGGTTATTTCACTGGTAGAGAAGCCAGGGTGTGAATGTGACCACTCATCTCCATCCAGTGCTGTAGTTAATATGTAGAGCTATACACCCACTTCCACCATACGCCTGTGAATGACTGACATCAGAGGAGGTGATCGGGAAGGGAGAGCCCATCTAGGGGCCACATTTCTTTCATTGTTGTCCTTGCCCACTTGTTTTCCCCACTCTCCTACCCTATCTGAGATCTGTATCACTTTTCCATGTTCATTTTATTCTTTTTGCTGCTTATGTGACATACTCTTCAATCCTGAAGATGGAAACGGCATGTTCCTCTGAAAGGTCAATACCAGACTGCATGGCGTCACATCGCAGGTGATAGTATCCTTCAAATAAACCATATGATCTGAAACACTAGTTAGAGATGGGTTTCTGTCACATCTGGCATTCCAAGTAGCAGCTAGCCCAAGTTGGTAAGGTTATTACAGTTTTAAGGCTGCTATTGTCCTTGTCTCTTGAGATAACTTGTTCTCTGTTTGAATGTTTTTTGTTGGACTGTGTTGCCTCATTCCCTCCATACCATCTTGGCAAGCAACAGACAGTAAAAAAGGTACACTCTTTTATTAGATCATTTTTTTTATGGAAGGAGGTATCTTACTGTGCGATCAGTAGCATCCAGTGGATGAATTGGAAGGGATTTAGAAGGATGTAGTCATGGCATAATGAAAGCACTATCATAACATTTTCCTGGAGAGACTGAGGAGACCTATGAGTCCATCTTACAGATTACATGGACAAAGCACATGCTAACTCAGTGATACAAGCCCCCACTCCATGAAAAGTTGATAGTTAAATTTTGGCTTTTATTGGCCCTCAGTGTTCATTGCTTTTTTCACTTGGACCCTAGCCTCCAGTGTTGGAGTTTTGAGTTATTTCATTTCAGTCCACACTTTGTAACCTTCTTCTATAAAATCCTTTCTAATATTGTGCTCCCATATGTGTTGAAGACTCCCAGATGGTCTCTTTTACCTTAAGATTTTCTGATATAAATTTTTTGTGCACTTCTTATTTACCCCATCTGTGCTACATGTACTTCCCACTGCATCCCGCTTGTTATACTTATCATATCTGGGGAAGAGTACAAATATTGAAACTCTTTGGTGCATTTTTCTCCATTTGATCCAAATGTTCTCCTCAGAACCCTGCTCTTAAACAGCCTCAAGTTGTCTGGGATTCATTTGTTTGTATGTGATTTATTTAACAACACTGTCAGTAGTATATAGTATGAAGAGAGGATGACAGATGACTAATGAACTGGAAAGGGTGCGGAAGGAAGCAGTTATGACCTAATTTGGGGTACTATCCAGGCATATGCTGGAGGAACTGAAAAAGAAAAGCACAAATAGTCTCTGTCAGGATGGTTATCTCTATGCTGGGATTTGAATCCAGGATCTCCTGAATACAAAGCAGCAGTGCTGAACACTTCAGTTTGCCTGTGTTGGTCTGTTATATATTTAGATAACTGAATCAGGTCCAGTCTCATGTTTGACTGAGTTCAAAGGTTTTGAAATTCAAACAAATTTTACATGATGATAACATGTCATCCCAAAAGGTTTTGTTTGTAGAAAATGGAAGCTGCCATTTGTGATATGCTCAGTACAGGCCAGTTAAGTAAAGGAGCCCACTTCTGTAATAATATGTCTTTTGTTATAACTAAAATCACAGGAATGTAGATGTGCAGGTTAGCAGAATATATTGTGTATGACACAGAGTGGTAGGGTGGTGTACGTGGAATGTACGTGGTGCAATCTAAAATTTCCCGAAATATATTAATAAAAACTATTACATCTTGCCTAGATCTTATTCTGCACCATCACCTTCAAAGTAGTCCTCTTGGGTGCGCATACACCGATCCAAGCGTTTCTGCTACTTTTCAAATGCATCCTGGAAGCCTTTCTTTGTTAGTGTGTTTAGTACCGTCTGCATTTCCGCTTGAATTTCCTCAACTGTATCAAATCTTCGCCCCTTCAACTTGATTTTCATCTTGGGGAAGGGAAAGAAGTCGCATGGAGTTAAGTCTGGCAAGTATGGTGGGTGGGGAACAACTCCCGTCTTGTTCTTAGCCAAAAATTCCTGCACAATGTAAGCCATATGCGGTCGTGCGTTGTCATGGTGGAGTACCCAGTCGTTCGTGTGCCACTTCTCTGGACGTTTTCTCCTCATGTTCTCCCTCAAACACCTTAGAACATCGCGATAGAACTCTTTATTGACTGTCTGACCAGGAGGGACAAACTCCTTATGAACAATCCCGTCAATATCAAAAAAAGAGATCAACATGGACTTAATGTTGCTCTTGACTTGTCGAGCTTTTTTTGGCCAAGGTGAAGAAGGGCTCTTCCATTGCGACGATTTTCAGCGTCATAGCCATAAACCCAACTTTCGTCACCAGTGACAACCTTCAAAAGAAAGTTTGGATCCTCTTGAAGCTGTTGCTGAAGTTCCCTGCAGACTTCCAAGCGATGCTGCTTCTGTTCATTTTGCAGCAGTCGTGGCACAAACTTCGCCGCAGTCCTCCTCATGTTCAGTTCCTCTGATAAAATTCGTTGACATGTACCATAACTTAGTCCCAAGGTGTTACAGAGGTCTTGGATGGTCAGTCTACGATCTTGCAGAATCAGATCCCTAACTTTCACAACATTTTCTGGTGTTTTTCCTGTTGACGGCCATCCCAAACGATCGTCATCATCAGTCAATGTTTGGCCATTTTTAAAACGCTTATACCAGTTGTAAGTTTGTGTCTGGCCTAAACTGTTTTCACCAAAAGCTTGCTTCAACATTTGGTGCGTTTCTGCAGCGGTTTTCCCAAGTTTGAAAGAAAACTATACAGACACGCAAACACAACAATGGAAATATGTTCACCAACAATAAACCCAACCACTCAACTCGACGCCGCTTGCCACACTGATTCAAGAAGGATGTGTGAGGAGACACTTAGCAGTATTTCGATGTACTCATAACCATTCGCTCGCAAAATTCAAATTTCAGAAACTTTTGGATTGCCCCATGTATCAGAAATAAAACACATTGGAAGGGGAAACAAATCATGTGACATGTGAAAGTTTAGTATGTTAAGCTTATCAAGGGTCTTAAGTTTTCTGTGTTCTCTCACCTTAATCACATCAAAAAGTTGCATAAAATTTTCTTCTAAATACCTACCTACCTACCTACCACTTGGAGCTACAGCCTTAGCCTCTTCTACAACCAATGCGTGCTGCCATAGGAATAGCCTCATGCCCAACCCCCAACCTGGAGGACCAGGGTATCTCTGTTACTCTGGACTCTACCCTTTGATCTTTATGGCATGAGTGACCCTACCAGTAGTTAAACTACTGTTGGCATAGTGCTACAGGGCACAGAGCCACAACCCCCACCACCACAAGGTGGAGACACTTTTGGGGGGTTTCTTCTAAATAATTTCTTTGTAATAATTTCAGGCACCAGTGTTTAATGATGCAACTCGTTCTGTGTTAGAAGACATCTTCCTGTTAAAACGACTGACAACGATGCAGGAATTCTTCTCTTTGTGTGGCCAAGTAGCTCATGGAGTGACTTCAGTGCACGATGATGACCACTTAAATAAGCCAATCAGGCGCTTCACAGCCGATTATGTGAGCCGTCAACTGCTTGGAGTCACTTCGCAAACTCTAGCCTTGGCACTTTGTCTCCTTCTGCATAGAATTGGCCTCAATGTGACAGGTAATGCCTTTTCATCCAGAACTTAAACATAGTGAGATGTGTTTGACAGTGTGGATCATTGGGTAGGGAAGAAAAAGCAAATATTGAAAGATGTGATTTATTCAGGGTTATGTTTTTAACTTGCAAAAATCATGACTTAACACACCCATTGCTTCATTTTGTGGATTTTTCATGGATACAGGTATGAAGAAGATATTTAAAAATCCGTGAAAGTTTTCATGGTTGGCTCTGTATGTTTCTTCGGGCAAGGGAAAATGATATTATTTATGTTAAGTCTGTTAAGACGACGCTAGTCTTCATCAAAAGACACTGAAACAGGTTCAGTGTGTCTGTATGTACAAAGGAATGTAGTAAAGTGGGGCCAGGGGCACTTAATGTGGCCAACAGAATATAACAGCTTTTGCTTGCCTGAACATAGTGGCAGTCACATGAGTGATATTATTTCAACTCTGTTTTATTACAGTTGAAGTGGAGCAAAGAGACATTGGGGCTGAGAACAAAGTGCCACTGGAAGAGTTGTGTCGGAAAGCAGTAGATCTGTGTTTAAAGAGTAATAAGTTCTCTGGAGGGACACTGGCTCAAGCATCAGGATTGACAAGCACTCTAGAGGCCACCTGGAGACGCAGGGAAGTGGCACGACACCTACAGCAGCAGGTTGAGGCCCGAAGGTCCACTCTGCAGCGCCTACAACTCCAGCTAACAGCACATAACTGGTTGCATGAAGACACATTAATGATGCAAGGAACCGCCCTTACTGCCATGGCTCCCATCAGTAAGTGTTAATACGGTACATGCAGCTGTTTTCCTTTCTAGTTGCTTACCCCCGTGTAGAGAGGCAGTTTCTCATAAATTAAGAAGGTTCATGTGACATTGTGAATTGTGATTTGACAGCATGTAATTTGGCAGATCATTATCCATCTACCAGATTATGTAATGTAAGATTGTAAAATATAGCAGTCTTCAAAAAGATTCATCCCTGCAAGAAGGCAAGGGTGCCTGCCATATATAATTTGTGCCCAATGTGGAGGCCATTATCCACATAACGAGGAACCCATTGTGTGGCCACCATACACATGACGGTGTGCAGAATGGAATCACAATGGCCATAGTAAACAATGGCATTTGAAAAAAAAAAAGTTTTTTTTTTCGTAAAGGTCCTATTTTACTTCATCCTTTAAAGTTAAATTGTATGTACATTTAATATCAACTGACTGAAAGACTTAAGTAGAAATATCTACATGTATGTTTGGTATGGCCTTAGGTCGACCAACTTTCATGCTGGAACTGCGGAAGACATCATCTGCACTGTTAGCATTGCAGCCACGCCTCGGAGAAGCACGAGAACATCAGAGTGCTCTGGTGGCTAGTGTCGAGCAGCGTCTCAAGTGGGCTTCAGGGGCTAATCCGGCTCTCAGTGAAGTGATGGCTGCATTTGAATCAGCAGTAAGCGCCCGTTCTGAGAGGCTCAACCTCGAACAGAGACTGTCTACTCTGGTTGGGAATACTTGCAATGCTGTGCTACATCATGAGGCCTTGCGTACCAGGACCTCCGAGGGAATGGCACATGATACTGCTTTCCTTCAGGTGCGTCATGAAATATGAATATCGAAGGGGGTTGGCAAATGTCATGTGCATACAGCAGATCTCCATATATATGATCACTCACTTACCTTGGCTGATGTAACAAATCAGTGGTTAGTGTGAAAATATTTGTTATGATCCTGCAAGAAAATGGAGCTAAGTGTTTATGCATTGTGTTTGACAATGGGGAACATATGAGTGTGCATTTCACTATCTGCATGTTCCATCACCAGAATCACTCAGCAGATGGGAGGGAGAGTCATAAAATAGGTCACAAATGGATATAAAACATAAAACACGTGATATTTGAACCTGGAAAAAACATTTGTTTCTCGACATATACTCCATCAACATTAATACACTTGCCCCATTGCTTTACAAGTGTGTCAAAACCCCAAACTCTTCCTCTCACTGCAAGTTGCTTCTATTGCAGTCTCAACAGGGCGACCTGGTTGGGCATCATCTGCACCTTTTGAATGTCCTTGAGAGAATTCTTGACCCAGTTGTGAACCAGTTTATGTGACTAGCACTTCCCACTGTAAACAGGAAACATTTCTTTATGAATATCCTTTGCATTTAGTCCTTTTGCCAACAAAAAAATGCACAACAGAATGCTGCTCTGTGGTAGTACACTCCTCAAGCACTGTCACCATTTTGACTACTGAAACCAGCCTCTGAACATGTGCATGTGCTATGTAGATTGGCATGAAGCTGGACTGTGATGCTACCTGGTGATAAATATCAAAAACATATCACATCCATTAAAGCTGTTTTATTTCCATTTGTGACCTATTTACTGACTCTCCACTCATATCAATGAAGTGGTATTTAAATTAGACATGAAAAGTTCTCAGGTCTTCTTTATTTTCGGTCAAAATTTGTCCACTATATCTCCCACTTTTTTTTTTTTAATCTCAAATCATTTATTCTAGTTATCAAAAATGATCCATGATGCAGATTTTAGTAGTAACATAAGGTTGGTAACTTTTATTTTGAACTCCTTTGTACATTTATGTACAAGGAAATGTGGAAGTCATGCATCTGTGACAGTATTTCTCAAAATTTTTTGGCTGTTGATCCTGTTCTGCTTATATAGAAACATGTACCCATTTTCAAACTCCCATTTCCTTAACCCTTTCGCGCAGTCATTTAAATTCCGCTGCCGTGTCTCTCCGGCGGTAATATATTCAGCCGGCCATTTAAATTTTACTCGAAAATGATTTATTCATCCTTTTTCTTAAATTATATGAGATAGGAACATGAAACTTTCACTAAAATGATCTTAAAAGGTGGTTTTATAACCTTACCTTATAATATGAGCGCCTGGTATCTCGGCAATGGAAGCAGTTGGTTTAGAATTTGAGCAGTGAATGGTACGCCTTGAAGCATGAAACTTTCACTAAAATGATCTTAAAAGATGGTTTTTATAACCTTACCTTATAATATGAGCGCCCGGTATCTCGGCAATGGAAGCAGTTGGTTTAGAATTTGAGCAGTG